TTTGTGAGCTTTAAAATGAGATTCTGGTGTTTCTGGCAAAATACATTTATATTTTAAAAAGGAAAAAACAGGATTTAATGAATTGACATCACGTTATTCAAGGTAAAATTGATATGAATAAGCAAATCGATTTTTTTAAACGCACCCCTTTAGTCAAGCTCCAAAAGTAAGCAGAAGAGTTGGCATGCTGGTGTTAGACATTAGCATCAACAGCCATTGTTTTTATGTACTCTTGCACAGGGCTACAATATGACTGAAAACTCTTAGTTTTGGTAGAATTTATCTTCTCTATAAAAATTTATGATTTATTTTACCAAATGAATGACTAATTGAATAAATCATGAAGTTTGTTACATACAGAATCAGCTGGGCTACATTATCCAACGCTGTCTTCTGTCTTCAGGGAGGTGATGTCTGCCCCCAATCTCCTGCGAGTAGGAACTGAAGAAAACATCTTTGTTGAAATTCAAGATAATGCTGGTGAAGAAAATGTTAATGTCAATATCATTGTGAGGAACTTTCCAAGAAAAGACATTATGCTGGCATCAACAACTGTGACCCTTACTAAGGAAAACAAATTCCAGGGTATTGGAAAAATTATGGTAAGTATTACTAAGTCTCGCATCTCAGAAACATCCTTATTACCATGCAGGTTTTCATAAACATTATCAGTTGGGACATCCAAATTCCCAAGTGCGTTAGTGTGTAACAACAATGTAATGCAATATGTTTTCTAAAATAATTTTATATTGTACTTAACTAACCAGGGAGCCTAAAATACTAAAATAAAAAAAGAGAGAGAAAACCTGTATTCTTTCTAATGAACAGCAATGATCAACTCCTGGGGTTACAAAATTATTGTAAATAGAATTAGAAAACAATATGAAAAAAATTAGTTCCACATGTTACTTGGTTCATGACTTCTGTAAATGTTTTATTTATGAGTTTGTGGTCTTAATCACTGGTGCCAATCTTAGACCCATGAGCCTTGGTTCATTTGTTATAAGTTATAAGCGTATGTAAAGATGATCAAGAAAGTTAAAACGTGAGATTTCTAACTAATCAGTAACTTATTAGAGGATCCCATAAAGTCGCATAATGTGAACTCGTTTATATTACAGTGAAATCTGTTACAGTGTTATTTAAATTTAATGAAAAGAGAAGTTTCCCAAATTAAGATATCGAATTCCTGCTGCACTAGATCTATTATTATTAGTATTGACAATTTAGCAATAATTATGGCATCAAAATATTACATTGAAAGATCTCTGGGAAATGTTTGTCAGCTGTGCATTAGCTCTTCTGCTCACCAAATATCTCGATTTTCAGCCCAGCCCCAGTTTTTTTATGTACATCTGTCACCTTTTTCGCAACAGTTTTCACTCTTCCAGAAATTGTATCCCAGCTTTTCCAATTTTTGTGCTTTTCAACCTGGATTTTTCCTGACAAATGTTTTTTGTTCTTTCTTTCTTTCTTTCTCTCTCTCTCTCTCTCTCTCTCTCTCTCGCTCTCTCTTTGTATGACACAGATATCTTGATTCATAACTTTTTTTAAATGAATATTATATCTCTAGCTTTTCCCTTCACACTGTCTCCCTTTCCCCAGATCCCTGCTGAGCACTTCAGCAATGATCCCAATATAAAACAGTATGTTCACCTACAAGGAGAGTTTGATACCCAAACACTGGAGAAGATTGTGTTAATCTCCCTTCAATATGGGTACATCTTCATCCAGACTGACAAGACTATCTATACTCCCAGTACCACAGGTGAGTCATTTACTCCATTACTGATGAGATACACAAACCAACATCAACACAAAATGATATGGTCATCATCACTGGACAGAACTTGGTCATTAACCTTTTAGCAGTTTATGTAGTTCAGATCATGGGAGATGAAGCTTGTCAGAGAGTTGATTTAATTTTCATTAGATACATCAAGAATACATCTTTTCCTTGTGGCAGGGCGTGATATGTGGCGCCACTGCAGGGAGGCTGACACACCATCGCTGCATCGGCTCATCACGCCTCCCCTGCATTAAAGAATGTACTGGGTCCTGACTGAGTTGTTGTTGTTGGTGTGTGTGGCTGGCAACTGCAAAACTGCAGCTGAGTATTGTTGTGAACAGCAACCGAAATAAAGTTAACGAGTGTTGAAATGTGGTCGGGTCCGACATTCGTTGTTTACATTTCTATTTCTTGGGTTGGAAGTAGATCATTAATAGCTATTGTATAATTATATATTTTTTAAAATCACAGCAGGCAGCAGCAGAGTTGTCAGTTTCTCGGTTTGATGTCTATCATCCATTTATTGATGGTTCCATGGTTGTAGAATTAGTGTTTCTTCTTGTTAGATGTCATGTGCTAACTAGTTGACAGGGGAATCTGAAATAAACACAGTAATTAAACAAAGTGTTTCTCTATTTGTCTCTCTGTCACAGTCTTTTACAGGATTTTTGCAATGAGGCCAAATATGGAGCCCGTAGACAAGAACTATCAACCGGGAACTGATACTTCTGTTGTTGTTGATATTGTGGTATTGTTATCTTTCATTTAACTACATCATTACAAAATCTATCACTGAGAGTATAAAACATTTACAAAATAATGAAATCCAATAATGTCACTAAAACATATAAAACATAAAGATTTCTCCAACACGTATGCTAGAATACAAGTTGCCATGAAAACTGAAACTGAAACTTTTAGATAAACCATATAGTTAATAATTACAAATTACCTGTTTTTAGGAAGCTGTAGAAATGTTAAAAATTATAAAATATATTGAGTGTTTTATTGATGCTCTCTCCTAATTTTAGGTTTAATTTTCTTATTTCTAGAACCCTGATGGAATTATTTTAGATTCAAATCTTGTCCTTGTAGTGTCAGGAATCTACTATGGAAGTTATTTCCTCCCTGAAATTGTAAGGTACTTTTTCCCTAATGCTCCACACTGAGAGGGATCTCAAATTTATGTATCTTATAAACACATCAACACTGAACTATGTGTTCTTTATGTACATCTATGTGTGTCTGTTTGTATATGTAGTACAGGAACGTGGAAGGTGGTGTCAAAATTTAACACCAACTTAAAGCAAACCTTTGAGGCAGAATTTGAAGTGAAAGAATATGGTAAGTTTGTTTAAAAATAGCCAACAAAAATTTCCCTTTTCGCCTCACTGGACACTTAATGAGTATTATTTTGCAGTGCTTCCCAGTTTTGAGGTTAAACTGACATCCCAGGTCCCCTTTTTCTATGTGGACAGTGATGAGCTCACCATCAACATCAAAGCGACGTATATGAAGGCTTTTGATTTGTGGACACAGTTTAATTTATAAAATCATGTTTGAGTTGTTGTTTCTTGATTGCAAGTTAATGGTTTATTTGTGATTTTAGATATCTATTTGGTAAAAAAGTGGATGGCACAGCCTTTGTGGTGTTTGGAGTTCTAGTTGGTAATACAAAAAACGGCATTCCAAGTTCTCTTCAAAGAGTGCAGGTGAGTAAACATTTATTCTTTTAATAATAAATAATAACAATAATGAATAACTGCCTATTTGACAAGTCTCTGTGTGTCTTATTTTTATCTTTTGTGATTTCAATCAATGCCCAGTTTCCTAAAATA